GGGTAGTCACCTTCTTGGTACAGCACTGTCCCTGCCTTGTAACTCTCACGCCTCATGTACGCACAGACCGGATACCAAAAGTCCTCGTTCTGCGATGTCAGTCCTTGGAACGTCTGCAGGAGGAGGGGTAATGGTTGGCGCATCACCGTCCACGCTGCGGGGATCACCACCGCTGTCTCATCCTCGCGGATCGTTTCTGTCGCGGCTTGTTGTAGATATCGACGGCGAGGGGAGCTGGTAAGCCCGTCCGCCAATGATGCCAGTCCGGACTGTGGAGGCGCAGTTGCACTCCTGGTAACCGTCGGCACTTCCAGGGAGGTTCGCGACGGTGCATTATTGTCCAGGAACTCTTCTCGATAATTGTAGAACACCTTGAGGTATTCATTTTCACTGAACTCTAGCGCCGAATTGAAATCCTCGAATATCTGCACGCCATTCTCCGGTGCAAATAGTCCGACATTCTGCAGACTCTTCCCAACGTCACCCCGGACATCGAGCCCCGAGATTGTTGTCTGCACATTCCGTTTGCGCAGAATCCGGTTTATGCGCGTGAACGCCTCCGCTGCGGAGAAGTCCAAGCCGTACACTCGCGAGAAGTCTAGGATCAGAAACCGGATAGGTCGTCGGTTGAAAGCTTCCTCTTCGATCAATCCCCGCATTGTGTTTTCGACATCGACAATCGTGCCAAAGAACAGGTATCCGGTCAGCTTCATAATCAGCGTCTGCTGACCGGCTTCGCGCAGATACCGCTGTTGCACAGGTGGACGGCGAACCGTTGAACCCGTGATCTTGCCTGAAAACGTGGCTCGGATGGCAGACTTGCGTGATGTTTGTACCACATAACTAACACAGGCCAGGATAATCCCAACAATAATTCCAGCGACAAAGTCCCATGCGCCCATCGTTACTACAATGATCACCACCTGACTTCAGTTAGCTCTTGGCTCTTCACAGAGTAAGGGTCATCAGGGATTACCGTCAAATATTCCAACCGATGTAGCTTCCCCCACGTATCAACCAAAGCTTCCTGCATCAATTCGATACCAAGTAGGAAAATGAGAGCACCAACTACCATAACCGGAATAAATCCAACAATCGATGGTCCAACAATCATAATCCCAATAGTAGCCGCTGCCAGAATAAGGCCTGCCAAACGGGAACTGCCACCGCTGTCGATAAACAGGAGACTATTGGTGTATACCAAATAATTCTAAGTAATTAGCATCGATTCTCCAAACCACCCATAGGAACACATACCTGTATACTACCCGCAAATCCAGACAGAGCATTGGTCACACCATGCGCCATGAGTTCCCGGTCCACGTTCAGATTATCCTCACCAGTCGAGATACCCAAAGCCGGAACATTAATAGGAACATGAAGAACGCCAAAGAACGTAAGAGCAAACATGGCTGGGATAGTATCTGCAAACGCAGACCAGTTTACAGCAGAGAAATCTGGCAAACATTTAGTGAAATGACCTGTTCATTGACGGGGAAAGGAGGCCCACCATAAAGCGTATAGAAATGATACCATGGATTCGAAGACGATGGCGCATCAAATACCCATCCATGATTCCGCAGAGCCTCCATAGGCATTCGCGCACTGAATTTGACAACGTAAAAGATTACTCCGACAGAAATGAAATAGCCGCCAACTAGGAAGTTCGATCGAAACAAACGCTGCAATACAAGAAGACCAATGGCAAGGAGCAGGGGTATCATCCAAAGAGGCAACGTATCCAGTTGGAAAAGCTTCTGCAGTGTGGGAAGGTTGTATTCCAAAGATCCAGATAGTCGAGCTGAGACCTCGACGCCGGTCTGTAGCAGGAAGAAGCCCACGCCCCCAATACAGCCGATCAAGATATGTCGTGGGAAGAATCCAATCAGGGAACCAAGACGACAAGTTCCCATTAGGAAGAATACAAGTCCAGTCAAAATCGAGCTGACCGAAAATGAGAGGATGGTGGTTGCAATCACAGACCTGGGATTACCATCACCAACCCGTTGCAGGATGGTAAATGCCATCTGATGAAAAAAGGGAACCACCTCAATCATCTCACTGCCTATCCCGCCAGTAAAAATCGAACCACCGGACGAGAAAACCACCTGCGCGATGATGGTACTGACATAGAACATGGAGATGCCATCGGACCCTAGGTCCGCAAAAACAGACTCCCCCAGCGGGAAGAGAATCATACCGTAAGACAAAGCATCGAGGATATTAAGCAGTAGCCCGAGAAAGACTGACGGGAGTAAGCTAGCCGGGTAGACCACACCATTCCGCCAAACAGCACGCCCATCCCACGACTTGGGGTTAGATAGAACCTGCGAGCATTTGGTCACTTTTGAGACAAACTGAAAAAACTTATTGCGCGGACGTTTGTTCGAAGCACCTTGGCTCTCGACATCCCCTGCGATCCCATACCCCCGGTAAGACTTGGATAGCAAAGACGTCCGCTCAGTAGTAGGATTTTCGCCTTCATCAGCAGTAGTAGATGCCCTCTCTTGGTGCAAATTCTCTTCGCTACCATCATCTTGTTCTTCTTCTTCGCCGCAATTATCATCACTACCAGTAGAAATTCGTTCCTCGAGAGACCCAGTCGGACTACGGATCAGCTGCGTCAACGCAGACGACCCAGTAACAGGCACATCAATGGGTTCATGGTTTCCAATTTCCGGGGCTGCTGAGTCACGTAAACTTCCTGGTGATATCACATCCTCAAAGCGTCCCTCTGAACGATGAAAAATATCTGAATTCTGCGGAAACGGGTTTCTATCCGACGGGAGCGAATGGCTCTGAGTCCCATTCAACGAGAGCGCAAACGAGGCCAATTCAGCTGTTTCTTCGCGGACACCGTTTGAGGAGTAGTTTGCGGGATCTGAATTTATCAGTATTGCTCAGTTCCGTAAACAGATGTCAATAAAATGATAGCATACCTAGCGAATTATGGAAAGACCGGTGTAAGAACGATCGACTTGGCGTCCGGTAACTCGACCCCCCATGCACAGAGGGTTCAATCCCAAAGACCCCTAGGGCCGGGGGACTGCTGCCATTGTTGGCTTGCTCGACAGGGAGATCTGAGTCATGGGCGAAAAAGTCGTGAGGCCATTCGGTGCTGGAGGGGGCGTTGCCCAGGAGTCGAGAGTCACGACGGCGGTTGGGTGAGAGGACTCCCATATTTTATTATTATTATGCTTTGAGTGAAATTCAATGGTCGTTCCTAAAAGTTGATAAGAGCTCTGGTCTGGTGCGTAGAATGACCGAAAACGGCGTGGAGAACGTCCGGGGTTAGAAGTGAGCGGCAATTTGCATCGCTCAGAAGCGAATGAATTGAGCCGCCATAGGTCCAGACAATAATAGCACGATAAACAGTGAAAGAAGAAGGGGAGGGAAGAAGTATTTGAATGGAAAGAACAGAGATGATACGGCGACAATGGGGTGGGAGAAGAAACAAGCTTATCAGAGTGACTAAAACTCTTATCACTGCCTGCTAATTTTATCGCCCGTGCGCTGCCTAGACCTGTAGGGACATTGATCAATTAATATATCCAAATGCTTGTTTTGCTTCAATTTGTAGTTGAGCTTGTAAATGACAGAAAAGATATATGCAGCGAAAAGGTTTATGTATATTGCTTTTGCTTAGGTGCCCGCAAAGTTAAAGACACCTGCAGCATGACAGCTGATACGCTCCGATATTCCCGCAACTGATTCCGGTCAATGCCAATGGGTATCATTAGAATCATAGCATGGTAAGCACTTTATGTACAGTTAAGTATAAATTAAATCAACTCAATCGCTCTAAAAACCCCTGCGCAATCAATCGTTCCACATCTCCTTGTCGCACATACAATTGACTATTTTTGGTCAAATTGATCACCCTGCCTCGTCAGTACGCCCTGTCTGAAAGCATAAAATAGAGCAAAGAGGACATACCCGTATTCCGTCTGAATTTCCCCCGCATCCTTCAAAACACGCACATCAATAAACAAATCCTGTGGTGGCTCCAAACTCCCTGTCAAATCTACATCCGTCCATTGTCCCTTATACGCCGCCAACATATCCCCATACAACCGGAAATACTCTTCCTCCTCGGGACTCAACGAGTTATGATTCCCCACCTGTCCAAGGACCGACTCTTGTTGCCCTTGTTGTTGTAATGAATCTTCCGGAAGTTGCTGTTCTAGCAGATCCACACCCTTCCAGCATAATTCCTCTAGTTTTTCTGTTCGGACGCGGTGGTAGGCTAACAAGCAGCGTTTGTTCCGGCGCATGCAGAGATGGTCGACGAGGAGAGCGCAGGCGATGGCCGGTTGGGCGGAGGGATTGAAGAAGCCTTCGAAGGGGGTGAGGAGATGCGTAACGTCACGGTCAAGATCGCGCAATTCGCGGGTTACGGCGCGGACCATTTCGGTTTGGTAGGGTGGGAGGTGAATGAGGGACTGGGTGCGTTTGGCATGTTGGACCTGTGGCAGTTAGTATCTGGAGAGCGGAATCAAGGTAGTGATGGGACATGCCAGTTTGTTACCGAGTTCGCCATACATGTTGGTGGTTATTAGGAAGTATGGTTATTTTTTGTGCCCGAATTGTCGCGACGAAGATGGGTCTTTGTCTTGCCGCGAGTCGCGATGGGTAACTTAATTACATTTGAGCCTTAGTCAGATCTGCCGATCCGCCGATCTTCTCCGATGTCATAAACTACGGAATGTTAAGAGGATACTGAAGAAGCTGGATATAAATGAAATGTAAATGCAATGAAGCCACCCAGTCTATGTCCTTTATTACATATAATAATCACAATGCAGACCTCCACCCAAAAGAGAAAAAGGATATCCAGTTTCAATCCAACCAAGCACCAACTATCCAGGGAATATGTCACAGGAGATTCAACCGAAATTGACCATCAAACAAGTACCACCCAATCCTAAATCTATTGCGCCGCCTGAACTCCAGCCTCTCTAAATATTTCTGGCCACTGGTTGACTCATTGAAATAGACTCAAAAAAAAAAAAAAAAAAAAAATGAAAGTTCACAGCGTTGGTAAAAAGATCCTCCAGCTCATCAGTGTCGTCATCATAATTATCATCATCATCGTAGTGGGCATGAGCTGGTGAAGATTAAATCTCATGAGCAATTAGTACCCAGTAGGATGAGGATTGATCCAGTTGTCAAAATCGCCGCCACTGGGTCCGTCAACACCAGCCTCTTGGCTGGACTCCCATGACTCCCGGTTGTCCAACAAGGCTTGCATGCCCGGCTGGTAACCAGTGACGGTGTAGGGCACTGCATTTGACGGCATGGAGGTCGTTGCAGGCAGATAGTTGGGACCTTCCTGCCACATGGGGTAGTAGGCACCGTTATGGTGATAGACATGAGCCGGGCTGGCCGTATCGCGCTTCAGCAGCTGAGGGTCCAACTGACCGTCAGTGAACGAACCCGGGGTCGGTATGGAGGTCTGAGGTTGAAGAAGGTCATGGTGAGTGCCACCAGGCAATCCCGCAAGGGCCGTCGACGACGAGTACTGCAATTTCTGCAGGTTCACGACACTCGCAGGGATAGACGATGGGATATAGTGGTGCGCCGCCTCATCCATTCCGGTGAATGGTCTGCCAGGGTGGCCCGTTTGCCAGGACGAGCTCAAATAACTTGCGGAGGGAAGGCCATGGTCTTGGTCAAAGGGAGTAAAGTCACGGCTGTCCCAGCCGCCACTTTCCACACCACAGCTCATGCCGCGACCGCTCTGGGCAAAAGAAGGGCTGGACATGGGGGAAGGTCTCTGCTTAGGGTCTGGCTCCGAACGGAACTCGTCTGGGCTCTTGTCCTTCTTGGAGGGCGAGAATTTGTAACCAGGATGAGCCTTGAGGTGGTTGCTCTTCTCGATGCTGGCCAGAAGTTCGTACTTCTCCCGGGTCTCACGCGACTCAATCTTCCAGCTCTCACCCGCCGCTTCAGAAACCTTCTGGTGGTTGGTCTCAGTGATAAGCTGCTTGGCGCGCTCTGCGTAGGCGGAACGGTAGAGCATGAAGGAGTTCATAGGACGAGCGACACGACCATTCCGCTTGGCAACTTCTTGCATACGGGTTTTGATGGGGCGGTGGACCCAGTTCTCCATGTCGCGAAGGGGAATGTGTGTCAAATGCTTGGTCGATTCGCTCAAGGGAGCAGTGACAGTGGGCTTGGAGCGTTCTCTCAACTTCTTGGTTCGACGTTGGATGCGGGGAGCTCTTGAAACGCGTGGCTTCGCAGAGGACGGTTTGGGGACCGACCAGGGAGACGTTGATTCCAGACCACCTGGGAAAACGCTTTCATCAGCAGTAGGAGGAGGGGTGTTGATCAGGCCGGGGTGGCCAGCAATCTGTTGAAACGATCTCATCAGCGCTGTTCGATTGTTGCGTTGCGACTGCTCTGTCAGAATTGAAGAAAAGAAAAAAAAAAAAAAAAAAAAAAAAAAGACTTACAGGATACTGCATGGGAAGCATTCGTGAGTAATCACTGTTGGGGACGTAAAAAGAGGGGGCTGAAGTATATGCCTGTTTATTTTGCTGTGGTCAGTGAATGTCCCCAATGTGACGAAGAGATAGTGATGCAAACTTACCAAAGGCTGAGGGTCACTATCGTAGGCCATCTTGACTATGCCGTCAGGATTCTCGTAGGATTGGCTCATAGCAATGGAATTGGAGACAGAGTCGCTGCTGGGAGACTGAGGAGGAGAGGGAGGTTGACCGCGTAGAAGATTTACCGTCGTCATTGCTGGATAGCAAGTAGAAGGAGCAATGGGTATGTTGAGACGATGCTCAAAGATGATGGAAATAGAATTGAGGAAGAGTAAAAGAGGAGGAGTGCAATAAAATGGAGAGACAATTGAGAGGGATCAGCTGCATTTGAGGAACAACTACGGTTCCTCTGATTGATGGTTGGTTGGTTGATTGGTCTCAAACGACACAAATGGGAGAGCAGGTCAAACACTCAAGACGGAAGCAAGTGAGACAGTCACGCTGTATGGGAATAATGGATTGAGTACAAAGGGGAGCAAAAGGTAGAAGGGAGAATAGTATAGTAGAGAGAAAGAATGAACTATTGAAGTAGAGGACAAGATGTGTTGAGTGTCAAAGAAGGGGAGACTAAGAAGGTTATATAGAAAGAACACAAAAGCTGTGTGGATGGGGGGTTGAAAAAAAGATAACGACAAGAGGATGCGGCCGTCAATTAAAGCAATTTGAATATGATGTAGTGACAGTTGGAGGAAGGATAAGGTCGACGGAGCCCCGACGGAATATGACACCCGTTCCAAGTGGCTCCAAGTTCCATAATTTGATAAAATAAAATAAATTCAAAATATTCCTGACGGACTGAATTGAACCTGACTCAATTGGGATATACACATGCAGTCTTTGTTCCACTCTGTCGGGACCCTTTGACTTTGAACCATTTTCCCACCTTTTTTGTTCTTTAAAAACTTTCCCTTCCTGGATCCATGAGTATACCATATTCTCTTCCTTTGTGCCAGTTTTGGATATGACACTGATAGAAATAGCGAGAATATAATAATGGACTTAAAATAATATTTCTACAGATACTCAATTCGGTCATTTCTCAGGTATGTAGGTTGAGAGGAAGGTGATGAACCCCGAACGAACCACTGACACACGCCCATGGTTGAGAACGAGGACTGAGCAGGGTGTGTATTTTTACTAGTAATATCTAGTAACGGACTTTTTTTATTTTTATTTATTTTTATTTTTTACTTGGATCGACATGAGGGTTTTTTTTTTTTTTTTTTTT